ATTGATGTCTTGCCTTAGAGATTTTCACATATTTCAACAAAAAATTATTTATTAATTCACACATATTTCAACAAAAAATTATTTATTGAATTTACACTTATTTCAACATAAAAATTATAAAAAAATGACAAATAAAAACTTTGAATGAATTGAAGTAAAATTTGAGTATAGAAACGAAGTCAATACGTACCCAAATAATTTCGTCCTGTATTCTCTTTGAATTTAAACCACTACTTTGAATTTTTTCTATTTGTTAATTACGCTTATATATAAACTCGCTGAATTATTTATACTTATAAGGTGCATTTGTTTATTTCTTTCTGTTTTGTAATATTTCCGTATGTTTTATAAATATGCGTCGAATCTTGTGCAATAAAGGAAAATGATTACAACATATATTTTGTCTAAATAATTACTCATTTACTATTTATGTTCTATTTATATAATTGTTACTTATAACAAGATTTAACTTCAAATAATAGATTTTATTTTTGATTTATTATTTACAATTTATTATCATATTTATATTTTTTGTGTTTCAGACAAATCAAAGGAAATCCCCAAAAAGAAATAATATCCAAAAAGTGCTTAATTAGTGTTTTGGAATGTATTGAATATCTGAAAGACAGTAAGTTTGATAGTATAAATATGATTATGATTAATTATAATTATAATTATGATTATGATTAAAGAAATATTTTAGTATTTGTGTTCAAAGTTCACGTGGAAATGTGTAATAATATATTTCATTTCATCAGAAAATGTGAAAATGTGAAACGTGAAAATAAAATAGTGAATTTTTCACCAACGAATATTCTATGTTTTGGATCATTCTGAACCATTTGATAATTATACATATACTCCTTTTTTATCTTTTTCAAATTAAATTGAAAAATATTATTGATTTTTAGTAATGATTTGGTAGAATATATTTTTATAATTTAAAAATTCATTTCGTATAATAAATGCATTGCAAAAACGTGGGTCAGACTAAGGTCCTACTGCAATTCTATAGTTTTTTCTTGTTTAGTATTTATCAATTTATAATCATGATTTTATCCAGAAATTTATCATTGTTTTTGTTCTCAAAAACAAATTTCAACCTAAAGCCCATGTCCATGGCAAACATAAAACAGGAGAATAGACAATAAATATTAAATGAATTCGCAATAAGAAAACAAAATTTAATGGAAATTCTGTTCTGATTCATTACACAGTTATTTTGTATAGAATTTTTCCAAACATGACAATTAATTGCAATTGCCGAAATATTTTTTGTGCAATCGCCAAGACAACGAAAATCAATTAATATAATTTTTCTTCAACGAAACTTAATAGTTTAAAAAAATTGATTTGTTTTGACAATGTCCGTTTAAGATTAATTCAGGAAGTAACATGCAAATTATAATAATTTTTACAGCATTAGTTTTTATACTATTTTCTCAAAGCAAACCTACTCTATTGTTATTTCAGTGTCACTTCCAAACATTGTTTAATTATCTAAAAATAATTTAGAAATATTAAACAAACTTATAAAAAATGGTTAATTAAACATTAATTAAAATGAAGAAAAAATATTAAAATTTAATTAGGAACAAAATTTCATTAAGAAAAACTCTGTCGAAAGAATAAAAATTATGTCTTAGGGTTAGTCCAAAATTTTTATAATGGAAGTATTAATTGCTATGTTGTCAGAGTTTTTCAACAATGTGAAAGAAATGTTATATTTACCAAGATAATCATATTATGAATTATTTAAAAATGTCTACGTGAACTTATATGTTTCTGAATTTGTGCTCATATGTGGGTGTATAAAAATATATTTATATGACAATTTCTTTTTAGATACTGAGCAGTTCGGCCTGTTCTACCAACTGGGTTCTAGAACAAGAGCTCGAGATATCTTATCTCGAATAGAACGAGGCGACCAAGACATTTTGCAATCGTTAAGAACACATGGAGGCCCATTGGAAGTGGCCTCAGCTCTAAAGACATTTTTGGTGGGTCTGAGAGCACCCTTGATGCCTGCCAGGGTACAAGAATTAATAGTCGGTGAGTGAATTTTGCAGACAATGTGATATCCCAACAACGATGCACATTATTTTTTACTTGTAAATAGAAAATATTATATACACAAAATAAAATATCATGCTCTAGAGGACAAATGATGCTACGTTGGCAAATTTCTACATATTTCAATATTCTGATATTTGAGAAGCCATTTTCATTCAAATAATTATTGCAACATTAACTTCTTATTGCAATAATAATCTATTTTAGAGCAATATAAATTATTAAGTTTTTTAGTATATTTATTAATTTTATTATTAATAGTTTATTTTACATTTTATTTTTATTAATTGATTTCCATAGGTTAAGTTATAGTAATGGGCCAAAAATCAAAAATTAACATTTTCTGATCTTCACGTTTCAGAGATTTCTGAACATTTTGAAAAATAAGTGGATGTGTGTATGTATTTGTGTGTATGTGGAGACAATTTCTCGTCGACGATTTCGTGCGTACAAATTAACCGATTTGAATGATTCAAAAAACATTTGATTCCTATTGATGAGGAGACGTGATTATTAGTTTTTGGCGACAACAGGTCCAGCGGAGATATGGAGCAAAAAGTGCTTTAAATTTAAGAGAACGATTTGATTGATCCAAAAAACATTCGATTCGTAATGATGGGGATGAGGAGGAGTGGTGATATAGAGCTAAATGTGTAAAAACTGGCAGTTTTTGAGAGAACTAAGCATGCGATTTGAATTATTTAAAAAACTTTCTACTTGTAACGGGTAATCGTCGAAACGATTTTAACTTCTAAAAATATCGAAAAATATCGATATTTTTTTAATATCGAAAAATAATTCGTATTTCACTTCTAATTCTAGCTAAAGTTCTAAGCATCATTTATATATTTCAAATAAATTATTTTAACTTTGCAATTCAATTAATATAATACTATTGAAATATATGAGACCATGCTCTTTATTTTAAATTCGATTGATTAAGTTTTGTTTATTTACTTCTCAGAAAATAAGAATAATGAACGTTAAATTATTTATGATAATCTATTTGAAAACATTTAATATTTCTCGAATATTTCATTAAGGTACGGGAAATTCAAGCAATTTGCCTTAAAGCACGATGCCATATACCACTAGTTAGATTCATAATTCGATTATATCTTTGATCTAGTAACATAGAACTCATTGAATTTAAATTTAAATTTTAAATAAATTTTAAAATAACTCTTTGTTCTTCACAGTGTGTCTTGTAATAAATAAATCTATACATTTAATTCATTACTTTTACTTATCATGTGATGTTACTACTGTGAAGCATTTGAAATTTGAGATAAATCTTTATACTAAAGTCACTTTAAAATTATATAATCAAAATTGAAACTCACATGTGTAGTATACGCAAAACTAAACAGCTATCAAAATATCATCCGTTAAAATGAACCGTTACTTGAAAGTTTTATCTCTGAAAAAGTTGCTGGACAACTTGACGGTATTATTGACAACTGATAAATCATGTGTATTTACGCTTAGTTATTTTATGTTTCACTAATATATACAAAAAGAGTTGACATTGTTTTTAAAATATAAAGCATCAATGCCGTTAACAGAATTGGGCTTTAGGGTTTGTTAACCTTTTGATAATAATCAAAGCAAATGAATTGACATAAATAGATTCTTACATGTTTTATGATTTAACGTTGGTATATATTAACCAGCAGACTGTGACGCTCAGAATATTCCTAAAATTATATATGAATCTTCCGAATCGAGCTCATAATGAGTAGATTTGTCAATCATAGAGCAGTATTTCTTGGTAATTTTGGATAAGAAGATGAATTTGTCGTACAGAATTGAAAAATGTCAGTATAACATGTCACTTATTTGTTAACGTTAGCATATATTACATTCATTTTAAACTAAAAATGGATTAAATGCAATGAAATATTATACGTGTAATTAAAAGAAAGTAGGAATAGTTTTTGATGGTAAGCTAAAACTGTTTCAAAATTAAGCAGTAGAAAATGTTATCTATCGTTACAAGAAATATTGGGGTTAGGGAAATTGGTTAGGATTAAACTTAAAAAGTATGCTTTTTTAATAGAAATAAAACCAAACATTTACTTCTTATGCCAAAATTTCGATCATTTTCATTGAATTGATCCATTATTTCAGTTATGGCAGAAAAACTCCTTTTTACAAACACCATCGAAAGGTTTTTTTGGTCTTCCTGTGAATCATGGCTGTCAACATTTTTGTTTTTTTCTTATTCAGCTAATTTCTTGAGCTCATTATCAGAAAGACTGCGCTGCTTCTTGAATTATTTCAATCAACATCTTCACCCACACTTACTCCACCTTTACCCTTTCAAAATCTGGATTGAAATAAAAAAGCGCTAAACCGAAACAGCGCTAAACGAAACAGCATTACGGGGGGTGTTTCTGTTTTTTTTTTTTTCAAAAATTTTAATTAAAATCGGAAATGGTCATTGTTTTATATGCATTACGAATATAGTCATCTAAACACAAATTTTGGCCTCTTGAGCCTAGTTGTCTAAGTTGGATGATAAGTAAATGCCAAAAACAGCATCCAAGCTAAATGAAATTGGTAATAGGTAGAGCGGAGCTTAAAAGTCCGCTAATAAAAAGTTTCACCGATATCTCAAAAAAAGTGAATTTAAGAATATTTTAAAAACAATGTTTGAAATATTGTTTTTTTTGAGCTAAACAAAATTACCCATGATGCTAAATATTTAAACATACGCAATTGATCTGAAAAAAATTGATATACAAAATTATTTTCTCATGAAAAGTGTAAGTGTATCATCAACTTTGTTTTTATTTGCTGTATTTGGAATTGGCCATGTATAATTAACGTATAAATAAATCGAATTCTTCTCGATTGTAATTCATCATTCTGTCAATGTTAGCCAACACTGTCTACTGATCCATGATTAGTAAAATATATAAATATAAGTGTTAATTTTTGTTCCAATATTTTGCTAGCCGACAATGCAGGCGTCTCCACGCGTACGGTGGCCTTAGACGCTCTAGGACTGCTCAGCCAAGAGACTCCGTCCAGCAGGCAGAGGACGTTACTTTTGTCTCTTCTTGGGCTTTTGCAAAAAATTAGCAACAACGCTAATAGTAACAACACTCTGGGCGAACTGGAAGGATCGCATGCTGCACTGGTCATGCTCCCAGTCTTTTTCAACTTTACGGTAAAAAAAAATTATACCTAACTTTTATAGTTCAAATCTTTTTGGACGTTTAGGATCATTTATTAATATTGCATAGAAATTGATAGTGGATAAAATAATACATGCGTCAATTAACTATATATTCGTAATGATTTTTTTCCAATTACTTTTATTATTATTTATTTTATTTGCATTTTGTATATTGCATGGTCATTATAATATTTCAGTTATATACTCATATACTAAGACTTGAAAATCCTCACAGGTGACGCGAGAGTATCTTAATTATTTTTGTATATGCTTATTTTGTGTGCATTTTGTATATTGCATTGCTAATTTTTATTTCAGTTAAATAATAATATATTAAGATCTAAAAATCCCTACAGGTGCACTCGAGAGTGCATTAATTAACTTCCCGAAGGGTAAGTTATTGTAATGGGCCGAAAATCGAAATTGAAAATTTTTACATTTCTCGACGTTTTGAAGGTTTCTGAACATTTTGGCATACCTCAGAAAAAATGGATGTGTGTGTGTTTGTGTGTGTGTGTATGTATGTATGGATACAAATTTCCAGTCACGTTTTCGGGCGCATAGATCAACCAATTTGAATGGTTCAAAAAACATTCGATTCCTATTGATAGGGAGATGAGCTGATTAGTTAGAGCGAAGAGTGCAGAAAATAGATATCGAGTTTTTGAGAGAACGGAGCATCCGATTTGAATGTTCTAAAAAACATTCAATTAGTAATGATTGGGAGAAGTGTTTATCAGATTTTGGCAAAGGCAGGCCCAAACATTTCAAAGATACGGAGCTACATGTGCAAAAAATGGCAGTTTTTGAGAGAACTAAGCGTCCGATTTAAATGATTCAAAGAACTTTCTGCTTGTCTTAACAAAATAATTGATTTTGAAAAAAAAAATTCAACTTTACGGTAAAAAAAAATTATACCTAACTTTTATAGTTCAAATCTTTTTGGACGTTTAGGATCATTTATTAATATTGCATAGAAATTGATAGTGGATAAAATAATACATGCGTCAATTAACTATATATTCGTAATGATTTTTTCCAATTACTTTTATTATTATTTATTTTATTTGCATTTTGTATATTGCATGGTCATTATAATATTTCAGTTATATACTCATATACTAAGACTTGAAAATCCTCACAGGTGACGCGAGAGTATCTTAATTATTTTTGTATATGCTTATTTTGTGTGCATTTTGTATATTGCATTGCTAATTTTTATTTCAGTTAAATAATAATATATTAAGATCTAAAAATCCCTACAGGTGCACTCGAGAGTGCATTAATTAACTTCCCGAAGGGTAAGTTATTGTAATGGGCCGAAAATCGAAATTGAAAATTTTTACATTTCTCGACGTTTTGAAGGTTTCTGAACATTTTGGCATACCTCAGAAAAAATGGATGTGTGTGTGTTTGTGTGTGTGTGTATGTATGTATGGATACAAATTTCCAGTCACGTTTTCGGGCGCATAGATCAACCAATTTGAATGGTTCAAAAAACATTCGATTCCTATTGATAGGGAGATGAGCTGATTAGTTAGAGCGAAGAGTGCAGAAAATAGATATCGAGTTTTTGAGAGAACGGAGCATCCGATTTGAATGTTCTAAAAAACATTCAATTAGTAATGATTGGGAGAAGTGTTTATCAGATTTTGGCAAAGGCAGGCCCAAACATTTCAAAGATACGGAGCTACATGTGCAAAAAATGGCAGTTTTTGAGAGAACTAAGCGTCCGATTTAAATGATTCAAAGAACTTTCTGCTTGTCTTAACAAAATAATTGATTTTGAAAAAAAAAATTCAACTTTACGGTAAAAAAAAATTATACCTAACTTTTATAGTTCAAATCTTTTTGGACGTTTAGGATCATTTATTAATATTGCATAGAAATTGATAGTGGATAAAATAATACATGCGTCAATTAACTATATATTCGTAATGATTTTTTCCAATTACTTTTATTATTATTTATTTTATTTGCATTTTGTATATTGCATGGTCATTATAATATTTCAGTTATATACTCATATACTAAGACTTGAAAATCCTCACAGGTGACGCGAGAGTATCTTAATTATTTTTGTATATGCTTATTTTGTGTGCATTTTGTATATTGCATTGCTAATTTTTATTTCAGTTAAATAATAATATATTAAGATCTAAAAATCCCTACAGGTGCACTCGAGAGTGCATTAATTAACTTCCCGAAGGGTAAGTTATTGTAATGGGCCGAAAATCGAAATTGAAAATTTTACATTTCTCGACGTTTTGAAGGTTTCTGAACATTTTGGCATACCTCAGAAAAAATGGATGTGTGTGTGTTTGTGTGTGTGTGTATGTATGTATGGATACAAATTTCCAGTCACGTTTTCGGGCGCATAGATCAACCAATTTGAATGGTTCAAAAAACATTCGATTCCTATTGATAGGGAGATGAGCTGATTAGTTAGAGCGAAGAGTGCAGAAAATAGATATCGAGTTTTTGAGAGAACGGAGCATCCGATTTGAATGTTCTAAAAAACATTCAATTAGTAATGATTGGGAGAAGTGTTTATCAGATTTTGGCAAAGGCAGGCCCAAACATTTCAAAGATACGGAGCTACATGTGCAAAAAATGGCAGTTTTTGAGAGAACTAAGCGTCCGATTTAAATGATTCAAAGAACTTTCTGCTTGTCTTAACAAAATAATTGATTTTGAAAAAAAAAATTGTTCCAACTTTTTTTTTCATTTTTTTTTAAATTAATTCTGACTAAAGTTCTAATATACTTTGAACAAATAATTTCAACTTTGCAATTCAGTTTATATTATATTTATAAATATTAGACAATGTTACAATTATAATAATAATCTGTTTCAAAACATTCAGTATTCCTCGAATATTTCGTTTCGGTACGGGAAGTTCTAGCAATTTGCCTTAAGGCACGATACCATACACCCAACTAGTTATTATTTTATATTAAATATATAGTGACTGCATTTGTAACTATGTGATATTCTAGAATCTAGAGCTCCGTGGAATTAGTTATTTTTGAAAACAGAAGAAAGTGGTTTAATAGTAAAGAATTATTACAAAAATGTTTTACAATTATGTATTTTTTCTCTAAACATTGTTTCATCAACATATTTAAATGTTAGAACATCCACTAAGTAAGTTATGGCAAGGAAACAAATTTTTTTCATATAATTGCAATATGCTTAAAATGTGTAGAGATATGATTTTAAAATGCTAGCCTGCAATAGTCACTTTAAGTTTAAAAATTGATGAGATAAAGATACAGAAAAATAATAAATCTTAATTATATGTTAATTTGCAAAATGTAAAGGGTATGTTTTTTGAGTCTTCTGGAGATAATTGGGGAAAGCAGTTCTATAGCATGCTGATTTGGGTATCTGCTGATTTCTTCTGTCACCGTATACAAATTGGAGTGTTGGTGGATAAGCCAATTTGGGCGCCTCTAATATATTTTAAAAATTCTATTTTATGGTTTTTATAAAATATTCATATTGGTTTGACTTATCAAGCAAGAACTAACGGATATATGTATAACGAAAATGATTATTGATAATCCACTTCTTATTTTCTACATACGAATGCTCTCATATGATATCATAACAAATGATCTGTGACCGATTGCCATTTCTTGGTAATCAGAATTGCAATTTGATGAATACCGTCAGTTTTCATGTCTGGGGCATTATTTGATAATTGAAATTGAAAATAGTAATATCAATATAATTTCTTATTAAATTAAATTATTTACTAATTGTTTGGTATAATCAACTATATTCCAAAATGCGTGTTTCATTCAATATATTATCTGGAATAATTTTTTTAATGAATTAGGTAATTATATGAACTTAGCTGGCTTAAATGCAAGGTGTAAAATCTATTTTTCAGAACCATTGAATTTCATAATTCTATCAGTTTGTATTTTATTAGTCAATATATATAATTAACTTAATTTAAATATCTAAATCTAAAATAATTAACATAATTTTCTACTAAATGTTCTAAATTAGACCTGAATCGATAATCAGTGGATTAGCAGTTTTCAAATTGTTATTAGACTTTTTTATTTTGTTGGATTGGACATTTTGCCGACGCGTGGTGATTGTGTTGATCATGGAACAGTATTTTCGAAATTTCTTTATATTGGATGTCACGGCTATATCTTTCTTGATTAAGAGAAAATACTCATTGAATACTTAATTAACCTATACTTTTATTATAATTTGATTTGATCTATCATTAAATCCGATTGTTCTAGGTGGATGTACTGCCACACTGGAGACGAATAGCCGCAGTTTTCAATGAGTTATTAATATGCGTCCCAGGATTAGACGATCCAGAGAATTCTGACAGCATTATACGTACATTGGCGGTAATTATTTATTTTAAAATTGTTTTGATATACTTCTGACTAATTTTAAATATACAATTAAATGACGCATAACCTTGAATTCATTGTTGAATCATACGGTTAATTCAATTTTATTAGTAATGAAATTACTGAAATTAGTGCCCTATATAATATTGTATTTGAATCCTAATGTACTACAACATATTTCCAAATTTACATGTTGTACCACGATTAGATGAATCCTAGTCGAATAAATTACTACTCTATGTTTTAAAGAATTTTTGACTAAAATTTAAAATGTTAATTATTGTGTTCTTACAGATTATGATTAGATTTTGCATAGAATTGTCGTTACTAAATCTATTTAACATTCTCAGTAGAATCTAAATAGTGGTACATGAATAAAAAAAATTAATTATAAATATTATGAATTTTATAGTAGTTTATAATTATCGCGATAATATTCTGGTTTAAAAAAATCTACATATAACACTGATATAATGACGTACTATTCATAACATGAAACAATTTGTTTATAGATATTGAACTTTTGTTCAAAATTTGTGAAAATCATTAGTGGTAGTAAATATTGTTTCAGAGGATTTGTTTCATAGTACCATAGTAGAGTACATATATTACATTTTATGTAGTATATGCACATTTAGATTATTGCATTATATAAAATGCAGCAAAGTTAGTCATCAGTTATCAGTTATTTATACTATATATAGTGCACTAATCTTTAAGTATCCACTTGTTTCAATGGTATCTTCTGAAGATTAAAATAAGTCATGTAACTTTTTTCAAAATTTGAAAATATATTGTGTTTTAAATGGTTGAAAGTCGCACATCTAATGTATACTATTGTATCTGTAATATGTGATCATATAGAGTTGGGCTTATCATATTCGAAGCCGGATCGGTTAGGATTTGACTCCGCTTTAGAGAGCAGTTATATCCACTTAACAACTCCACAACTCCGACAACTTTGAAACATAATACTTGACACAAATGTGTTCTATAGTGTGTTGTTAACATATCTAAGGATTTATTAAGATTTTGAAAATAGTTTACAAATAGTTCAAACATTTTTGTTCATTTTATTATAATAATTACTATTTTATGCATTTCCAAATCTCAAATTGACAAAAAACTTGGGAATCAAAATCAATTTTGAAGAGAAAAAATGGATTTTTTTAAATATGTTTATTTTTATATGAAAATAATGCAGTGCACCTTATATATGAAATAAGAACAAATCTTTGTATATAATATTTTTCACAAAATAATAATACCTTACATTGTTTTATTATTTCTTTCTCGAGAATTAATTATACATCAGGTAGTTTGATGAAATCATAATTGTGTAAAAGTTATGATATAATACTAAATATTTTTTAGTATTTGTATACCATTGAAAGAGCTCATTTACGGACAAACATTATCGCATACAGAATATAAAACAGGACAAAATAGCATTATTTTGAGACATTATACACCTGGAAAGTCCTAAAACTGGCTGTGAGACGAGAAAAAGACCACATCTTTCGAACCAGTCTTTGTTTTAGTAAAAAATCTCAAGCAAATATCTGTACATGTTAACAGATTTATTACTAGTTTAGGGAATTCGGATATGACAAATCCTGTGAAACAACTCCACTCGGATTCACTCCGAGGGAGGAGTTGTATTGGAGTGATAACTTCGGAGTGAGTTACCATCTGTAGAACGTACTATCAATGGACAAACAATTCTCATATAAATTGCGCCTGAAGATACCTTAAACAAATATTCTTTCTTTATCCGTGGTTGCAATGAATGTGGGTTGATATAGTCTGTATTATGACCACGGAATACATTGAACAAAAAAATGATTATTTTATAATTTGATAATATCAACAATTAAATTATCATATGAATGATTAATAAATAATACTCTTTTTTTAGGAGCGACCTAGTGGCGATTTGAGCATCGACATTCAACCTATACCTGATCCATTGGTTCGTGTGCAGGATCAGTACAGGCAGTTGCGACAAAATCAGCAGAACAACAACGCTATCATTAGTATGGGTGAGTGATATTTGCTAAATTGATAAATTTATTTATTCAGAATTTTATATAAACTTATATTTGGACTTATATTTCACGTACAAAATCTACTCGCCAGCATATCTAGATTTTAATAGATATGCGTTTAAAATCTTAAATTGATATTGTATTGTTCTATCTTCCTCTTAAGGAGTCTATTAATAAATCGATTGGAACACGTTTGCTCATGTACTTGCAAGTACTAAGTAATCTCAATAATAATCGATATTTATTTACGATACCCTCAGTTCATTACATGTTTTGCATGTATACACTGCACAAAAAAAATCTATTACTGGTCATATATAGACTTCTTGAAAATATGGAATTGCTCATTGTTCTATAATTGTAATATCTCTTTAGGAGTTTGGCAATTATCTAGGCTTATTTCCTAAAGATATAATAAAAAAAAATTTAAATATCAGATAGTATATGTACAATTATGCAAAGTGCAAAAAATAACCAAATGAATGCTACATATCTTACTATATAAATCCTATGTATCCTATTTTTTCATATTAATCCTTATCCTAACCCACTCCTAAATAGGCGAAGGCGCATTCTTACCACCTCCTTTATATCCAAGAGTGTTTTCCAGGGGTCGTCTGCACCCTGTCATTAGAGGAGGGACTAATGCGTCCATGGTTCATCATCATGAGCGACCACATACGCATACAAGAACTGTCAGTGCCACTAGGTAGCTGATGGTCCAAAACTATTGTATCACTGTTAGTATTACCAAAGTGATTAGGAAAGAACCATAGAAGTACATAAGATAAATCAAGAATACTGCAAACTGATATAATTCATCACAAAATGTGCAAAATTTTGACCAAGCTGAAATATCCGTAATGATATTGTCAAAACCAAATTCTGGAATGAATACAGTTACATATACAAGCTTATAAATAGGAAGGAAAATTCTGGCATCATCTAAACTTTATAAGACAGAACAACGTTTCTGTTTCTTATTTTTGATCACATTTTCTCATAGAAAAAATTTCGAATTCGAAGAATATGTCGACGTAATTTGAAACATTTATGGTATATTATTCTATGCAGTACACAAACCTTCGCCACAGAATTATCTGAAAAATGGGAAATTTTTCTCATTCGTCTTCCAAATCACTTCCAGTATTACTAGAGATACATATCTTTTCAAATAACAATATATTTATTAGCGTTGTCCACAGTAACTAAATTCTTGCATTGTGCATGAGTAGCGTGAAATGGGGAAATTTTTCTCATTCGTCTTCCAAATCACTTCCAGTATTACTAGAGATACATATCTTTTCAAATAACAATATATTTATTAGCGTGTCCACAGTAACTAAATTCTTGCATGTGAGCATGAGTAGCGTGAAATTGGATACCAACATCATCAGAATTAATCGGGCCAAACTTGCTAGTTTGTCAGCAACTACGAAACAGTGTTTTCAGCAAAATCTCAAGCTGGGCAGTTCTGACATGAAAGAATTTATAAAGTTAAGAACGCTATAAATATATTGTAAAGAAAAACCGCATGTATTTGCAATATGCATTGATAAAAAAAAATCCAAACGAAAATAATAACAAAATCACCCAAAAAATTATATAAAAAAAATATTAAACACGGCACATGCAGATTGGACAAAAATTGAAGATAGTATGTTTTTCGGTTGATTTAAATGGAAAAAGGCAATATTACTGAATCAAACACATCACAAATTTAAATAAACCTATCCTATCGGCAAACTGTGAGAAGTAATATAAACTAATCCGTACACCGAGCAATTTTCAAGTATCAAGCGATTTTTGATCTTGAATTCTAAATGCATTTTATAATTTCCTCATCACAGCAATTATGTTATAATTTTTATTTATGTAACATTTTTCCATATGTATCTGAATGTTGATTATAAATTATTTTGAATGAGTGCTTGTATGAATGAGTTTTATTACTTCTATAAATATTAGAATAGATATTAAACATTTTGTTTAACTCGAAACAACACTTCTGAAATTTACAAATAAAGGCTTTTGTCCCGAAATTATTCGTAATTTGAAAAGTTGTTTTTCAAAAGAGAAAAATGATTGAAAACGCGATTATGAAAATTTTAACTAACTTTTAGTTGTTCTTAACTTTTCTATATTCAACGAAACGGGTAGATGATGAACTACATATAGTGAACCTACAAAAGTGAAGAAATTGAGATGGTAATATTTGTAATATTATTTAATTAATTGTGGGCGTACTATATAGTAACAATATTAAATCTTCTTGGCTTAAATAATATAGGTCTTACTTTTATTATTCCTATTTGCTATACTTTATGGAATTATGTTGGAAATATTTGAACATCTATATTATTCCTTTTGGTATCCTTTTTTGGTATTTTTGGTATATTTTTTGTGAATAAGTATTAATAAAAACAAATTTTTGCACATTTGAATAGCGTTATGTATATTTGAATAGTTTTAGCTGAACCAAAACTTTCCAGGATACAAATAAAATCATTAATTAATTTCTAGTAATTCTTTCTGCAAATTAGTCGGGGATTTTGAATTTTGCATAATTATCTATTTTATAAAACTAAATAAGAATTTATGATTGTCATTTTTCATGAATTGAGATAAGGTAATTTTATTTGAAGCCAGTGGAATATAAATAGGATGTGGGATGCAAACTTCCTGATTTACAACAAATATTTTCCAGTAATAAAACATTACAAAGCTCTGATATTTACTCAAAAATTCATACTGTTATTCATGATGATTGAATAAATGCTTATTTTGATATTTATAGATTTGCTGTCAATCTTCATGCTTGCAATTCTGAAAATGGTTAACTAAAAACTAAGAAATTTTTTTATCGATCTTGCACGAATTCCATTTGCAGTAAATACTAAGTTCTACGTAAAATTATTTTTATAACTGTTCAAAGTTTTAACTGTCGATCATGAAGGAACAATTCGTGTAATAATTTTTTGTTCAATGTTAATCAAGGCGATTCTCAATAAGTGAGTTAGTTTTAGAAAAAAAAATAACGAAAGCCATATACTAAAATTGTATTTATAATTAGTCTTATAAAAAATAATTATAATTCGAAAATAATAGATACAGATTAATTTAAATGAACCTAATTGGGTAAATAATCTATAAATTGTTAATAATCCAATAATTAATCAATCTTAAAATGTAACTTTGATGCTGCAATAACTAGTTTAATAATGATTATTACTACAATAATTAACAATTTGTTCATTAAAACTAATACGAATACTAATCATCCAATATAAAAGTTAACAGCAAATTACATTTATCTTCTCATTACTCATTTTACAAGGAAAGTGTACAAATCGGAATATATAGGTTTCTAATTATATAAGCATTATTTTTAGAAGCATTTCTAAATTAATTGCAGATCTATTATATTCTCCGAACAAAAATATTTGTTAGCATTTCCAAAAGATGTGAAATTTCAACAAGTATTTTCTGAGAAATATTTACCTAAGAAGTAAATATTTATACCGCTTAAAATAATCGTATGTCTGATCCAAATCATTGATGCACATCTCTTAGATAAAACAACTATAAAATTTGCAATTTTTTACATCTTAGGATATAAAATTGAAATTAGTTGAAATAGTTTAACTGAAATAACTTGGTGATAATTGAATATGCATTTTAAAATACCATTTATGAACAAACATGGCTAAAGACAGAGATGAGATAAAACAACAATGGTAAGGACATGTTTCCCTTTCTTTGTGGATAAGTCTTATTGTTATTTTTTTTATTGAAATATTTTTAACAATTGATTTCAAAGTCAATTTCAAAACTGACACGTCGTTGGTGCATTATAGAGTTCATATTTGACTCTTTTCTGCGACGATATAGTCCGATCATAATTTCCATATAATTTAGTTTCACTTATATTTAAGGAGATCTAAGCTATCACAAATATAAAAAAATGATCGTGACCGTCGATCGATAATAACAAAAAATTAATGATGATATGCTAAGATATTCTATGACATGTTAAATACTTAACAATTTGTTATATAATATGTAAAAAATGTGTATCATTGCTAATTCAAAATAAGCATACAAAATTTACGTGACGCAATTTCAAAATAAACAGAAATTATTCTGCGATCGTTTTAAACGAATATTTGAAGATCACGGAATCATTTGAAGATATAAACCGATACGGGACATTAATACAACTTGAACAAATTATTATCCAGGAATAATAGATTTTTCCAAAGTTCTTTATACTGAGGTTCTTATAATATAATTTTATTAACAATGAAGAATTGCGCCAGGTTTATGTTGTGTTTGAGTACCTTCTGTCTACTTATTTTATACGTTGCATCGGTTCCTCATACTTTTTCGTGTCAAAATATCATCCAAGTGACAAATGCAGATGGTAAGTACAATAAATTTTTACATATACATGTATATATTTTAATTATGATTTCAACAATACTGCACATTTTTAGAATTTTAAAATAATTATTTTTCTTAATTTGATATTCCCTTATTCGAAATAAGAGATTTTCACAGTGTACCAAAGGGCTTAATTATTTATTGATTTGAAACTAGTTAAAAGATATATAAAGTAGTGCTCCTTTAGGCAATATGCTCTTTCAGTTATCACCTAAAACCTTCATCACTAAACTTTACACATTAAATTTGGAGCACACGGACCTACCTTTGAGCATACCACTCATAATTATTTTTATTTGCCATACATGCATACGTCAAAATGCTCGTAATGTCTCCATTCATAAATGTATCAACAAATTTAGTCTGTTTTCAAATTCTAATAGCTCGTAGCGTTGCCATCTATTTCCTTATCAATGGCTCGTAGTATGGAAATCTGGAGTCGTAGAGATTACTGAATTTGATGCTACCTCATGTCAATCTAATATATTACAAATTTGCTGCCGGAGCAATTAACCAGTTAACTGTGGAGCACTCATATAAATGTGTATATATATTCGTCAATCATGATTGTCATTATGCATAGAGTTAGTTGCGCTGGATTAGAAAGAGAATAAAAACGATGGTTTTGTTTCACAAATTGAAAATATTATTACTAACTTCTAGTTATTTGGTTAATATAAGCAAAAGTTAATATAATTGCAAAGTGATTCTAGGAATCAGGGCAATATAAGCAGTGAGACTTTTTAAGTCGAGATCTTGTAGTTTTATATATTTTTTAAGTAATATCTAAAAAACATTATCATCGCACGTACATTTTATTCTTATGCGAACTAATGAAGTTCATGCGAGCTGTTATGCAATCTGGCAACTTTGATGAAAATAATTACCAAAATAATTTATTCAAGATTAGCTAGTACAAGCTTTCTTAGCATTTCGGACATCAAGAAGAAATGTTAGTCTTTTCTGCTTGATGTCGGAATGACCTAAATTATACAACTCTATACTTGATATTTTGATAACTCAAGTTTTATTGCAAGTTGAAGATTACTGAAAAGTTATTATAACAATAATAATCGTTTTTATGTGCTTTCATATAAAAACAGACAGCGTTCAAAAAGAATTCTATTATTAATTTGATTCAGTAATTGTATTTAACCCTATTACACAGGGCATACCGGAACACATTGCATCATCCACAACTATTTATATTCTTTGTTTTTTACCAACATAAATTTAAAATATTTTACTCATCTTGAAAATTGAAAGTATGGTAGACTCGGTACGGTTGTGCTAGGGTACGGTAGTGATAGTCGTCGTAACAGCTAAACTGTTTTTGAGATAGGGTCCAAAGGAAAAAGATGTAGTATGTTTGTTTCCATTGTTGCATTCAGTTGAAGCATCCTACATTAACATGATCTGTAGATCTCATTGCTTTTGAAAGGTCAAAAGTAAAGTTTATTGTTCGATTTTCTTTAATAATAACTGTTACTGGTATATAGATAAATTACTTTGATTATTATTTTGCTGTAAGTTGAACATTAGGATTTATTTACTAGCAATTAGTTTTTTGCGTAGATCTTTTTTTTTCGGTCATATTTGGGTACGGTTGTGACACATTTTTTGGGCACTCATCATTTTTTGGGCTCGCCCGTAGGTAAGCGGTTAAGTCCGACGGGACTTGTTTCAGAGGTCCCGGGTTCAATACCCACCTTGAGCAGCCTGTTGTCAGGCAACATTGACAACGATTTTCACTTGGAAATATAAATATCAATATGTTTCCAAGTGAAAATAGCCCTCACCCGGCATTGCTGCACCATACTCGCTGTATTACAGAAATTGTAATAAAAATTTATCATACAGAGATGTAACAACTGATTGGGCTGCCATCTGTCAAACAGACTAGTATTAAGTCAGAATCAGCACAACATCTTATAGGACTATTAGGTTCTGATTGGTGTTCAAAAATAATTTAAAAAAATCTCATCATTTTCGGTCTAAAAACTAAACGGGAAAAGAATATTATAACTGAACTAAAACAAAATAATGGAGAGAAGGAAAAAGGAAGAAGCAATACAAGAAAAGAAAGATTGCACAATCGGCATCATTATCCGATCAATTTTTTTGTTGTTAACTTTGTTTTTTAAAGTTATGTTTTGTTATATTATATTCATAATGTTGTGATTGTTTAAATGATTATGTCGTATTATGCTACATATTTTTGACCATAAAATATTGTGTTTTAACGCATGTTTTTGTCTGTCATAGTTGTCTTGGGGGTGTGAACGTTCGTGACACTCACCCTTTTTTTCTCTGATTTTATTTTATGGCCATCGTATTTAAGGACAGTATTTTTTGCAGACAAATGTTAAAATTAACATTTAATTTAGTTATCTCCCAGCTAAATAGTAAATTAAAAAAACATATTGCTAATCAAAAAAAAGTGGCACAACCGTACCCAGTCTACCCCACCTATGTTTTTTTCTTTCAAAACTTGCAAATAAATAGCCATTGGTTTCTAATTCATACTAAGTAAGTGAGTATACTCGCCTATTCACAGTTAACTGGTTAATCATAATCATAAATTTTATTGAATAACCATAAAGATCTAACTATCCATATATCCTTTGGGCTTCCGTTAGGATATGACTTAGTATCGGTCGGAATACATAGGTACCGCCAATTCACTTTTACCGTTAATTGAACTTGAGACCTACCTGTCGTAAGCCTTTAACCGCTTGACCGCAAGGGGCTGACCTCGGTCCATCGGAATCGTCAAATGTCAGCATCTCGGGTTTTCAATGGATTTTGCATGAGAAACGAAATTATTATTAACCGGTTGTGAAAGAAGTAAATCGTATCAGGGAAGTTATGTATTTGCGGTCAGAAATAATATAAGAAACTAAATTAATAAATGCTTGCTGTTAAATACAACATTATGCTTCCTTTTATTATATTTATTGATGATAACACTTTTAGTAATTTTCTGTTTGATATTTTATTGTATTTTATTGCAATCAATTTTTCATTCAATCTATTATATTTTTTCCTCTATTGTTTTTTGTGCAAGTACTTATAATTAATGATTAATGATGATTAGGCAAATGCATTGTTTTAATATAATTCATTTCCGTGATAAATGAAAAACTATAAAATGTTATGCTAGTCATATTGTTTATAAAATTGTTGCATGTTCTCTGTTCATCAACATCGTATTTTTTATATAAATTGCATTTTTTAGAGAATTATTGTTAGATTTTCATCAAAATACTATAATAGATTACAAAAAGGACACATTACTTCATATAAAAAATACTTAAATTATAACATTTAATAGTACATTTTGAATTTATTATATATGATATACTCGTATTAATATTATATATTCCTGTATACATAAATCATAAAATATGTTTAATGGCCAAATGATAAATCGAAAGCAAAAAATATAAAATAAAATACAAAAAATAGTACATTTTACGATTTCGTAAATTCTATCGTTTTTATACAAATAATAGTGAAAGTACAGACAAAATGACAAGGTTTCATGTTCTTGATACTATAACTAGTCTCAAATCATTTTTCCTCATATTTGGTTCATAGATAACATGGTTTTAATTAAGTAGAGTCTATAATAACAAATTATTTATTAAAGAAAAACGCAACCAATTACAAAAATTATTTGTTTATGTGGTAAGGACAAAATGATACATAGGATAAAAACATTCTGAGATGTTAGTTTTTAAGAAGACTTTTTGGAATATTAGTACATGACCCTGAGCCCGAAGGTCAAAAATTACACATTGTCACACTTGACAAAAGCCTGAAATAATATTTATTAGTATTGATTACGGCTTGCTAATGAATAAATGAATAAATAAATTGTAATCAACCTTCGCCAGGCTTAGAACTGAAATTTGCTCTGAGTGCAAGTCTTTTCTTTTTACTACTAAATTTTTTGTCTGTTATTAGAAGAGTTAAAGTAAGAATTTAAAATCCAATTACCTTTGTCAAGTTTAAATTTTTATCTTAGCCTGAAATAGTACTATGTCATTTTGTCTATTTTATAAGTATGTTATTTTGTCCACAAGTGATGAAAAATGAATTACCAACCAAAATTCCATCAAGCACGCTTTAAAATTACAATAAAATTGATCGAAATCACTAGTATTAATAACAAATTACAAAAACAGTCAGTTCATTGATTTTAATAGTAATAATTACAAATAACAATGAATAAGTCCCAAAAAATCATAACAAAACCATCTTTAAAATATACTTACAAAATTGCGATACACATTTGAACTAATTACTTCGACAAGAACGTGACAATGACGCTCAATATCTGACCGGATTGTGATTGTAGATTTCTTCGTGTTTTACAATTGCGGAAACGTTACTAAAACTAGTCAATTTTAAATAAAACACTGTACTATTTTGTCTGTATTTTCTCTATTCAATATAAGTTTAATAATATTTTATACAAAGTAAGGGGGTTTTGGCCTATATGTACCGTTCAAACTAATCGAGCATATTGCCATTACGGACATGCTTTTCACTACTACCGTAATTCATCAGAAATAATATTTTTCAAATATTAGGTAAAAACCAAAAGATTATCTGAGTTGAAATACAACCTAAAGAAAAAATGTTTTCATCTTCTGTATTCCTGTAAAACTAAACATGTTTCCATGATTCTCACAAAAGCTCCAATCAACTAACTAACTCTATTACATATTCATTAAATTATTCAATTACTGGAAAAATCAATTTAGGTACGACTAGCCGAAGATGCAGCGGCTGGGTTCGTTTATCAATTAGTGATATAAAGCAGCAAAATAATGAAAATTCGAAGAACAAACCAACTGATCCGAATAACAAAGAAAATGAAGGTTCAAGACCAACTGGTTCTACAAATACTCAAGAAAATACCCCAAATAAGAATAATAGCAATCACAGTGGTCCTCAATCAGTTGCAATTATAGACGTTCCTATTAATTGCCCCGAAGGTTTTCGACCAGATCCTAGAGGAATTTGCAGGGAAAGTTTTTAAGAAGCAGATTGTTATAAGTAATTTTACATTTTATAGAATTGTAATATTTCAAAATATATTCATGTAAATAAAAAATATTAGAAAGTGTCAAAAACTAACTTTGTTTTATCGATTTGGCAAAACAGTAGCTTCTTTGTTATAAGAGTAGATCTTTTGTCATATCGTTGGATGATGAATATAAAAAATGTTCGACATTCACAAAGCGGATTATCTTAATCTTTACAGGGAAATTTTAAATACATCGTGGAGTTCTTTGTATACATGTTCTGACATTAATGATGCATGGATCTTTTTTACGCTACAATTTATAGCTTATTAGATAAATTTGTTCCTAAAACAAAGAAATTTGCTTCCAATAAATTTAAGCCTTGGTTTAATTCTGATATTATTAGAAACCTCCGTATGAAGAAATACTATCATAATAAATACAAGTTAACCAATATCACTTTCTATTATGAAAATTTTAAATTGTACAAGAAATTAATAAAAATACTTATGAAAGATGCCTATAATTCATATATTATTGACGTTGAAAATTCTCTATCGCTTAATCCTAAATATTTTTGGTCTTTTTTGCGTAATAAAACTGCTTCTAATATTATTCCTAATAGATTGTGCTATCTAGACAAATATTATGATTCTCCTGATGCTATTGTTGATGCATTTAATTCTTACTTTATTAGTGTTTATCATCCTAAACTTGACATACCCATTTTATTTGATCATAATGATAGAATCATGATTGATATAGGTGAAATTGATTCTAGTACTGTGCAACATGCAATAGCAAGTTTTAAGAACTCCAAAATATTTGGTTTCGATGGTATTCCATCTTTCTTTATACGTGATTGCTCATCTACTCTATCTGATCCACTTGCATTTTTATTTAATCTATCTTTGCGTACAAACACTTTTCCAAATTGTTGGAAAATTGCACGATTAGTTCCAACTTTTAAACAAGGTGTTACATCAAACATTACTAATTACAGGCCGATATCATTATTATCAAACTTTGTTAAGGTATTTGAAAAAATTATTTATAGAGAACTAATTCCTTCTGTTAGAACTTTAATTTCTATTAATCAACATGGTTTTATGCCTGCCCGTTCTATGATAACAAATTTAATTTGTATTAAACAATATATAGCTGAGAATCTTGACATCAATGGACAAGTTGACGTTATTTACACTGATTTCAGTAAAGCTTTTGACAAAATTGATCATAACATTCTCCTTACTAAATTATCTAAGATTGGTCTTAATTCTTCACTTATTCACTTTTTCAAGAGTTATCTTCATAATCGCAAGCAGTTTGTCTTTCTTAATGGATTCTTGAGCAACATTGAAAATATTAGTTCAGGAGTTCCTCAGGGATCCATTCTTGATACTATTAACTGTCCACTATTATTCTATTATGACTGCTTTTATTACAGTCTTTGACCTTTTCCAATCTTGGTGTATCTATAACAAATTACATCTAAATATATCAAAGTGCAAGATTCTTAGTTTTACACATAAGCGCGTTCCAATACTTTTTGATTACAAAATTTCTAACACCAGCATTGATAGATGTAATAAAATTTCCGATTTAGGTGTTCTATTTGATTCTGGTTTGTTTTTCACAGATCATGTTACTGATATTTGTAATAGAGCACATCAATCTTTAGGTTTGATACTAAGAAATTGTAAACAATTTAAGTCTACCAATGCACTTTTTTGCATGTACTATTCTATTGTACGTTCAAAATTAGAATACGGTTCGATTATTTGGTATCCTCATCATATCAATAACTCTGATGCGATAGAGAAGGTTCAGCGAAAATTTCTGAAATACCTTTATTATAAAACATATAAAATTTACCCTGAACGTGGCTTTGACCACAACACTTTACTAAAAGAATTTGGTATTCCTTCCCTTGCCTCACGTCGATTTATCTGTACAATTATGTTCTTATTTAAGCTTTGCAATAATTCTATAGACTGTCCTCTTATTCTCAATCAACTATCCTTTAATGTTCCAAGGCTATCTTCGCGTTCACAATTATTTTTCAATTATCCCACCCCTAAATCTAATTCTCTCTTAAATTCGCCAATTTTACTTATGTCCTCTAACTTTAACTTAATTAATAATGAAATAGACATTCACAACACATCACCTAATCAAATAATCTCCATCTGCACAAGTTAATCTTTTTATTTTCTTTCAAATATCTCATTATTTTCTGTTTATAAATATTATTGTTACATTCTGCATTATATGAAATTTTATCTTAGCATTTTATGTTACTAACTATATATTGTAATTTTGTGTATATTTTAATTGTTATTCATTATGTCAAATAATTGTATTTTTGAGTCCTCTTGGAAAAATCTGTGGGCTATATATTTAAATAAATAAATAAATAAATAAATAATATATTAAATTGTAATGACTATTGCAAGAAAAATATATTGTTGTTACAATAATGTTAGAATACAAAATTATATATATAGAATGCGGACCTGATGAGGATATCTATCTAGGAGTGAAAGAGGGGGGGTATCTCCATCATGGTATAAAAGAAAGAAGTTTCAACAAAATCATTCTATTTCGACTGCCTGCCCAAAGGAATAATATACCTTGTATTATTGTATAAATAGAATACTGTTATGTAAATATTATCAAAGTAATAAATTTTATTTTACCATTAATAAATAATACGACAATCTTGCACATTTTTCATATAATGTTTTCTATTCATCACATTATATCACCGATTTAATTATAGACACTTTATTAATAGCAAATTATATTTAAATACTACTTATATTATTATAATTCCTGTAATTACAATAAATGATTTCATTGAATAGCAATTATATCCGAACACTATGTGATTCATGTAATAATATTAATAAATTATTATCAGCTTGGTTTTTTAGCATCATAAAACTTCTGATCAGTACTCATATCAGCTCATTGGACTTCCCACCCTCCCTATGTGATGAATCACACGAAATTCCTAATTATAATTATATAATATTTTAATTCCAAGTACAATCATATTGGTATCATGCAGCATCGATAAAGTATATCCTTTGAAAATGTAAAATAAAAATTTAATTAAAATTATCCATTAAAGTATGACTGTTTTATGAAGACTATAAATCCCATACAAGAAGCTTTCCTAGAATTGAGTTAAGTTCATGGACCTGTTTATTATAAATATCATAGTCGATCGTTTTTATATCATCCTGAATTAAAAGTAATTACATTTTGTTATATCATAAAAGAAATTAATTCTTTGCTGGTTCTATGAAATACTTACTTAAGAACATGTAATATGTAATTTTTTCAATCCATAATTTTCTTCAAGAGTTTTATTTATTGGGTATTTTTCATTTTGCTTCGTTCAAACAAATATCTTCTTGTTTTTTAATGGGATTTCCATTAGTAATTGTTATCAGAATACTTGAAATGAGTAGGTCCGTTAACTTATAATTCTAAATCCTTAACACTAAATTTATTAGATTTATTAAATGTATGTTTATATATCACTTCTAAAAATTAATTATTGCCCTGTACCACCTCAATTACTCAATGTCTATATGAGACAGATTATAATTTATATAGTAAATTATTTATATTATATAAAATAAAAATTTATTAGATATAGAGAAGGTTTGAATGAGAATAAAAAACTAGCCGGTACTGATTGTAATTAAGTATTTTATGGATGTATTAAAAACATTTATTTAAATGAGGTGGAGTTAAGGAACATCAGTATTATAGTAGAACTGAACCCAAGCCAAAACCCCGTTTTTTCTTCGTAAGTGCACATATATTATCATACATACTCATTTACTAGTCCAGTCATCATAGTAAGTTCAACTCAGAATTCGAGATGACACAGCTGTAAGTCTGTAAATACCCTAAAATAGCACCCTAAAAGTTGTCTCAAAACCTACATATTGTATGGTGTACATACCATGTTTAGGTTTTGAGACAACTTTTTGGGTGCTATTTTAGGGTATTTACAGACTTACAGCTGGATATCTCGAATTCCGAGATTCTTACCTCATTTAAGCTCAAATGACTGCACTATACAGCTAGAAATATCATAAGTAAGGTGTCAAAGTGTTTTAGTGGCTATCAAATGTTATAAATACACATTGAAGTTTGTTTTTGCGTGGAAGATCGTTTCTTCCAAGAAATATTATTCTTGTTAAAAGTATTATTTTTGTAAAGAAAATTATTTTTTGTGTTTTTACATTATGATTGAAGCAAAATAATTGGTATCCAAAAGCCTGCACGTCATAATATTTAGAGTAGGACGAATATACTCGGTCTTTGCAGCAAATGGGTTGAAATAATACTTAGGAAATATTTAAAACATTTTTGCGTTTGTGAAGAGATTTTAGAATTCTTAAAAAATAGTTAAAAACTATAGCATTGTTGCAAAACTTGTATAAGAATTAAATACCATCAGTAACACAATACAGGTATGTGTATATGAGAGTTTATATATGTAGTGTAACTCTACCAATGACCGAATAATCTATAATCAATAATTCACACCCTTGGACGTACGTACAGGTGATAAATGTCTAGCACTGGCGCCTGTTATTAATTACCATATGTTTATCTTTTATTTGTAATAATATTGGAATTTCGCAAATTAAGCTTGGTCATACTTTCTAAAATACGTGCACAGTATTGGATCGTAGTGCATGTATAAAAGAGATAAATGGGCCTAGCCAATTCCTTATTATATCTGTATATATATATTTATATATATATATATATATATATATATACATATATATTCTTCCATGGAGTTCCAGACATGAATGAATTACGTCATGAGCTTTATCTCTAATAGTAGTACATACGAGTATTTCACAAATTTATGTAATCATCGATATATATATATATATATATATATATATATATATATATATATACATGCACAGTATCTGATTGGTATATGTAATATGACGTATCCTTCTTTATCATCATAAAAATACTATCATGATAATTCAATAATGTGTTGTTGAATAATTTATTGTCATGCTTATAAATCAAAACTCTTTTTATTTGACTATCTGCCAAGAAAAAATAATTAAATGCATTTTATATGCTTAAATTTAAAA